GATACTAATTTTTGTGGCATACATTCTTCATACCATTATTGGTTTGGTATAGTATAATGAATAGGAGGAAGTATGTACAATGTATTGTTACATGTATATTGTCAAAGATTTGCTTCGATACAAATTTTGCTTCGATACTAATTGTGCTTCGATACTAATTTTGCTTTGATACGAATTTTACTTCGATACGAATTATGTTTTGATATGAAGTTTGTTTCGATACAAATTTTGCTTCTATAGGAATTTTGCTTCGAGACGAGTGTCAAGTTTAATTTATTTAATATTTGCACTTTGCTTAATTATCAATCCAGGCCATTTGTCACCAATCCATTCTTAGTGGGACTCAACCCCATTACCATGACAGTGATATGTGAAAATGACCTCAATAATTGTCATTCGCTCTAGACTCTTATTCAACGACATCACATTATTTGTGAGAATAAACTGTAACAAATAGCAAAAGTATATTGACAATTAATGCAGAGATGATGAAACATTGTTACCCGTAATATGTCTAAATTCATCCCCCCTTCTTAATCTCTACTCCCACACCGTAACAAGCAATTGCTAATACGGTAGTTCTTTCAGAAACATTAAAATGTTCGGCCAGTTTTTTACGTGTTCCACCAGTAGTGTGTAAAAAAATTTAGCTCTGTCTCATCTACTTCATTTGTGTTGCAAATAAAATAATTTGCTTTAAAAATGTGATTTTTAAAACTAATTTTTTTAAAGAGAGCATCTAGAAAGATCTATGTACGCGCAATGGCACCTACTAAGCTCACTTCACACGGTTTGGTCAGTGCCATCAAACTTGGGTTTGACAGGTTTTCCTAGGAGGAAATGCATTCTCCTGGCGGAAATGCATTCCATATCAAAACCCTATTTTGATTTTGATGAATAACCTGTCAAGCTGAATGCAATTCAGACCTGAAACCCCTAAAACCATTTCAGTTTTTAGTATTTGCTGTTTCCACTCAACCATGGTTAATTTAGATCTGTTATCGAAGCTACTGTGCGGCCAGTGAAAAAATAAAGATAAAAAGTTATAGATTAGAAACTGGATCAAGCGATGGATAAAAAATAATATGCTTTGATGACATTCTTGCAAATATATCGCCAAGTAATAAGTGCACCCTCCAATTTGAGACCCCTCTTATTCCGAGACCCCTAATTCGAGACCACTTTTCCAAAGACCCAAATAACAATCTTCAGCCTTTTAACACAAAGCTAGCCCTCTAATTGGAGACCAACCCCGAGACCACCCCAGATTTTCAGGTCCCAATGCATGGTGGTCTCGAATTGAAGGACGAACTGTATACACACAAAGATACTCTCTTGGGAAAAGAATGTATCCCTGGTTAGCGCGACTAGCTTTTGCACTTTTTGGCAATGGGAATATTCATCGAAGCAAATTCATATCGAAGCAAAATTCATATCGAAGCAAAATTCGTATCGAAACACAAATCGTATCGAAGCAAAATTCGTATCGAAGCAAAAAGCATATCATCGCATTGTTGCATAAATGGCGTAACATAAAGAATATATAGCGTCAGCGTACACAAACTGTATAAATACGTCACAAATTTCACATCGGGAGCTGAGAGTAGACCACCTGCGGCAAACCTTGCACTGGGTGACGTCGTTCTCTATTGTAGGCCTAGTTTAGCCTAGCGTATAAGAATACAGATCATTTCGGTCGCGCTTTGTTTCGGTCGCGCCTCGTTTCGGTCGCGCTTCATTTCAGTCGCGGTGTGTTTTCAACAAATATATGGAGCGCCATATGGAATTGCGAAAACGCCAAATTTAATATAACTAGGCTTAATTATCATTGTGAGTTCGTCAATCGGTTTATCATACCTTTTTTATTTATGTTTTGTTGTCTTTCTGCTAAGTAACAACATAGGCTACTTAAAAGCAAATAAATTGAATACTATTATTACTAAACTAAATTTCAATTAATATTATGGTATTTATAGGTTTGTTGCATTCCTAGTACCATTTCACTCTTTTATCGGACAGGGTTTTTTCGTTTTGTTATCGATTCTACGCTTCCTACTACATAACAAATATTTATAAAAATCTTTTTATCAGGAAAAAGCAGCCAACTCGTTATTTAAATTACTGTAACATTAGTTTATTAACAATTATTTTTATATTAGTATTAAAGTTTTATTGTTACTATATTACTGTATCACTTGGTGCTATTTTTCTTTTTTTACAGAAACAACGCAGATGTTACGAAGTTGACCGAGTTTGATACGTTTTTTTTTTATTGTTGCGATATATATATATACTGTCTCTTATACACATCTAGATGTGTATAAGAGACAGTATTGTATAGAAACATCGGATTAAATAATGTAATGATTATTGTTATTTCAGATTGTAACAACATTCAATTCATTCAATTAAAATCAAAGATACATTTTATTGACCATAACTATTAAATTATAATATATGAAAACGCAACAAAAAGAATAGCATGAAGCACATACTAAACTCCATTGTTTCAATAATACGATCTTGTTTCAATCACTCAATTAAAATCAAAGATACATTTTATTGACCATAACTATTAAATTATAATATATGAAAACGCAACAAAAAGAATAGCATGAAGCACATAATAAACTCCATTGTTTCAATAATAAGATCGTGTTTCAATCATGAATATATCACCGTAAATGAAAGAAAGAAAGTATGTTAGTAGAAAGATAGCAAAACAGAAATAAAAAAAAATACTTAGGCCTATGATAAACCGATTGACGAAATAATTATAATTACATTATATAGGGCCTAGGCATATTAAATTTTGCTTTTTCGCAACTCTTTCGGCACTCCATATATTTGTTTGAAATGAGACGCAACCGAAATGAAGCGCGACCGAAATGATCGGCTACCGCGTAGAATAGCAATCATTCTTTCAAAAGTGAAATTATATTAAGGTAATTCTGACTTCCGATTTTCAATTCATTCACACGTCCTAGGCCTAGCTTTGAAGGCTTCTTGAGTTGTGTAGGATAGTAGTGTATGACTAGGCCTGGGCCTAACCTTGGCCTAACTGATTCGGTGATGGGCGTCACGTGACTAACTTGGGCGTTGAATGTAAAGAATAGAGATTGCTATGGCAGCTGTCCCTTTTTATTGCTGTAAAGATCATCATAATTGCTGTATTTTTATTTTTCAACATGATTTAAAAGTTACTGTAATATGATTGTTGCCATCCCGAAATTCACCACAAACATTGATTGTCTGGTCGTCCAAGGGAATTAGGGATAACGTCGATGGCACAGACGATGATGAATAATCTTGATGGGGATGCCAGAAACTATACCAAATTGATTAGAAATTGAAAATTTGTCTTGTTTTTCCCTAACTTCACTGATCTATTTACAATTTTTTGTGTTTTTCTACTCTGTTGGTGCTGTCTGGAATCTTGTGAATGTGTGATCTGTGAATTTTATTGCGTATTTTTTTTTGCTATTGCCTCCCAACACAAGCCGAACAGAAACAACTTCCAGTAACACCTACAGACTAGAGCTAGCCCTAACGCCATTGAACTCTTGGCGCCATAGCACTGGTTGGTGGTGTTTGCACTCCTCACCACTGTCTATGAGATATCATTTACAGATCACTGAACTGAACTACCGCCTACTACCATTAATCTGATTTTGTACTACAAGAAGGCTTGTGGCGCAGTTAACCAAGATCAAGTTCAACCCACCTACACGCCAATATTTTGCTTTCCCATCCGCTATTCCCAAAAAGAACTTATACAGTGTAAGTACGCCATAAACCACATCCTGAATAAAATGGATGAACTGAGAGTCAGAGTGAATGAAACCCACCCAGAAATCATCATTATTACCAAATCATTTCTCAAACCTCACATTGATGACTCTCTAGTCACTATAGATGGCTTAGTTGGCTATACTGTCATACGAGCGGACCGCCCCCATGGTGGTGTTATGATTTACATCAAAGACGACATCCCTTTAAACTCTGGGATGTTTTTAGAAACAACAACCATGAAAGTGTCTGGGTCACACTGAGAACTAAATGTCTCCCAAGAACAATCGCCAGTATATCAATAGGAGGACTATCACCCACAAAATACCAATGATCACATAACAATGGAGCATATTATTCAAACTTTGGATCGTATCCGACAAAAACACCTGACACTGGTTTTTTTCTCGCTGGAGATTTCAATAGGATGAAGGATCACCGAATCCGACAATACCCGCTCAAGCAACTTGTATCTGTTTACACACATGCACAAGCTTCATTGGATTGATGTACTCCAATATGGAAAAATACTATATATATTGAGCCAGCACTTGACCATCGCGTTGTTATTTGCAAGTTCAAACTGAACTTGCTTACACCCCTGTGTTATTAAGTGGCCCTGAGCCTAATCATGGTTTTACTGTCGTGATGACCCATTACCATTAAAACTATAGACAAGTATTCTAGAAAGGTATTTTTATAACTTTACATTATGGTGAAGCTACGTGACCACAACTTGAAGGGATTTAAGAGCAACTTAGGAACTATCGCATGTGGCTAGCAGAACATGTTAATTTCAACTTTTGGAAACTAAACTTGATGTCTCTTTGTTCCACACACTGAAGATATATCAGACTTAATACGTATACAATCATTTTTATTTGTTTCACTTTATCGTGAGTTACAAAAACCACATTTTTAGTGGGGTAAATATTTCAAGTCGGCGATTTAGCATGACCCTAGGCTGACTAAAAAAATTGGCCTGTGGAGGTACCATTTTAATCGAGGTCTGCATGATTTAGTCGTAGTGCTATTTAAAGTTTTCGACGTAATTTTGAAGTTTTAGCTCGGACTATGACTAAAGTTCATTTTAAGAATACCAGGAATAATCTTGAAAAATGTAGGATTGTGAAAAAAGAAATTTATTATATAAATAAACATTATTATTATTAATAGTTAAAACTTTAAAATCAAAGCATCGTTTTTTCCAGATAAAAGTATAAATGAAGATCAAATGAGTTGCAAACATTAGAGCTGTAATTAAACAACATTATGGCGTCTGGTAAAGGTAAGAAACAAATTGTCAATGCTCGGTGTTTGTAGACCTGTCATAAAACTTTACTATGATGTGTGAAATCAAGAAAACCTGTGAAAAATATTATTAAAATAAAACATTAAATTCCTTTATTAAAATATGTTTTATAAAGTTCAGACAGAAAATATAATATTACACTCGTCACACTACTGTATCTTGACATGAGTAGAAGATAGATCTTTTCCCGAATGATCAAAAGGTAATTCGGGGAAAAAAAAAACACAAAAATGCCTCACTTCCATGGTGACCTTTGACCCTTGTTAAAACTTGAATTCATTTTTATGATGATCATATGTTTCAAATATCAGTTTGGTGTCTCTATGACTTCATGTTTAATAATAATACTGTAAGCAATTTAAAAAGGGGTATATTTTTCAATTTGTGACAATATCAGTGCATAAATGTGACAATATTAATTTTTGAATAACGATAATATTGAAAACAATCTGCCTAGAGCCTTGAAACTTTTAATTCTACAACAACTTTATGTGCTTATTTCAGGTATGCTGTTCGACAGTGTCCACAGAAAAGTGGTCCCTAAAATTCTTGTCCGATCGTAAAAAATACTTATCTCGGGTGTCAGGCAAGTGGGTTCGCTTATGCCTGGATCACCATATAAATAAATTCATGGTGTGAGTTTCAACGACAAGGGTACCTGCCCACAGGGTCAAAGGTCACTGTGAAAATGAGGCATTTTTGTGTGTTTCTTTGCCCCAAATGACTTTTTGACCTACGATTACCCCCTAAAATGATAAGTGAAAAATCTGGAATTTTTAGTGGTGAAACATTTCCAACTATATGAATAACTTGGTGCCAAGACCCATTTAATAACTGATTTGGGTATTTTAATGGGATCTAAAAATGGAATAAAAACTATGCGACTAAATATGTAGTCATGTCATATTCCTGTTCTGCAGCCAAATGTTAGTCTAGATATCAATTTTCAATTAATTATCTATATTCTATATTGAAGATATGGCTAATTGAAAATGCAACTTTACAAATATGTCATTATTGAGAGCTAAAAGGGGGTATGACTCCGAAATTTCAAATGGACATCAATTCTAAAACGACTTGGAATTGGCAAGTCATATTTTGGGTTTGTTCATTAGACATGATGGTGCTTATTACAGTATATCCAAGTTCAAGAATGTCTGAGATGGTACCCAGCCATCTTTTTTGTTACGTCGTCAGTGCGGAAAAGTGGCCTGAAAAAGAGATGGAATCGCAAAAATGTAAGCCATGCCCAGTGTTCGAAATAAGGCTTGTCTGCTTGTCCCAGGCAGCCAAAATGTCCTACGGACAACCAAAACTATGGGCAACTTGTCCATGGGACAACCAAAAAATTTTGGACCCAAACCTCACCTCAATTAATCGTTTTTGCCTCCCGAACTTTACTGCGTTGTTGTCACGGGCGTGGTCATTTTGGATTTGTCGAATCACATGTTTTCTCACTTTTTGGTCTGAGACTTGAACTGAGGCGCCCTCTCGCTGTTACTTATACTGTGGCGGGTCCATAGAGATATAATATTAGAATACTAGAGCGCTAAACTGCAATGTATTCGATGTTCGAAATACGTAGAGCTGTGTGTGTGTACCATCCAAGATGGCTGCCATAGATTTAGCCAATCAAATTTCGCCTAAGCACCATCATTTGCAATTGCGCCCTCAATTTACTCAGAAAGTTCAGTACGGTTAGTTACTCTCAGTTTTGCACTGCTGCCAATTATATTTTGTCCTTTTGGCGTTCCATAACACAGTGGTAGACTGAGGGTACCGGCTGCAAACACGAATAGGTATCCTAACTCATTCATTCCTAGAGGTATTTTCCTCTTTAACAATGGATATGCTAGAGAGGTGTTGCTAGAGAGTGGAAGAAAAGAACACTATAATTTCCAAAATGTTTGGATGAATAAAGTAAGGCCAAAAAAAAAAAATTGTGTTGGCCATGCCCTTGACTGCAACGCACAATATTTCTTTAAGAGCAAATAAGGCTGAAATAGCCTTGGTCAGGCTAGGGGACCAAGACCTAGCCTATTTTGCTGGATGGTACGCGATGCAAATTCAAAATTGTTGTTGTATTTGTGCATTTTCTACTTTTTAGCCACAGGTGGGCAAAGTGCGGCCTGCCAGTGATTTTTTTGCAGCCCCGAAAGTAATTTACAAACCCTAGGCGTGCGGCCCGCCAACCACCTTTGGCTAGAAGACACATTGTTTTTTGCGGCCTGGCACCGATCATCTGTAAAAAGTAATAGTAGAACTGAACATAAATAAAGGGGCCATAAAACAGTGTATGAAGGTTTTTGGAAGTGCACTGAAACATCAAAGTTTAGGTGCAGCCCTCTGGGTTGAATATGAATTTCACTTTGGCCCTCTGACCAATTTTGATGCCCACCCCTGTTTTAGGCGTAAACACATTTTTGGTTGTTCAAAAAAAAAAAAAAAGTTTTCCTACCGACCTACCCATTATTTGGATTTTCTAAAAAACGTGGCCAACACAACAATTTTTTATTTGGCCTGATGTCTACATCTATGCCTATGTCTATGAATGACCCTATTTTTCACTTCATAGGAATCAATGAAGGAGCCTTTCCATTACTTTTGTCAGCTCTTTCAACATGGTACGACAAGCACAGATACGTCAGTATGCTGAAAGTTTTGTACAGAGACCTTTTGAAAAATACTGGTCTATTAATGAATGCTACAAGCACAATGGAATTAATGAATATGTTGATTGTATCTGATCATCTGCATTATACAAATCTTAAGGTCCTCTATGATACCATAAAGGCTACAGACACATTTGGTTTGGAAAAGGAAATTAAACCAAGAATACTATTATTCCCAAATGTTAGAACTGAGATTATCTTAAAATTCACAAAACACAGACAGAAGATTATGATGTTTGGAATGGCACTGACGGATGATGATATAGGAAAGATTAGTAGGCTATATAATGAGCCGGTGAAGGAGTATAAGGATGCATGGAGTTTGATTATGGATCTAGAAAGTCGTGAGATAATTGATAAAAAAAACATGAAGGCTTTCATTGACATACTGAAAAACAACAATCTTGTTCAAGCAGAAAAATCTCTATCCAAAGGTATTATCTATGTAAATATTGTTGTTGATAAATATAACATTCTACACATAACAATTTACAATACAGTTAAATAAATAATTAGATGAAATAAAAAGTGAGCTGTGGAACAACAGTTAAATTTTCCTGTCTCATTCAATACAAAATGGTTAATTCACTGTGTGAAATGGAGGCACAAAACATTTTAGTGCTGATGAAATATTTCATATCACACCCACCTTATATTTGAATTACTGTAATTTCAACTGATTTCTTTTAACTTACACCCAACTTGACAGTGTACATTATATTATTTTTGTATAATACTTGCTTTCAATCTTCATTCATAATTACGCTTCTGTTTGAGATAAGAAAAAAATCAAGTCATTCATAGAAACAGGTGTCGCTATATAATAATTGAGTTTGATTAAATAAGTATGTTTAAAAAGTATATACTTTTTTTATAAAATGGATTAAAAATAATTTATTATTTATTTATATTTTTGGCTTTTTATGTAGACTTAAATATTATGTTAAATGATAGTAAATTGTATGATGACAGTTGTTTATTCTGCTTATCTGCTCCCTGGCATCATCCTGAAATTTTATGTTAATTTCACATTTATTTAATGCATTTTTAAAAATAATTTTACCTAATAAAAATTAATTTTGATTTAATCTTTATCCAGCACATTCAAAAAATATTTTCTTTTATCAATATTCTATGTTTCACTTTACAGACATTTCAATTGCATCTTCATACACAGTAGAAGAACCGGTTACAGGTAATAATGTACACAATGATTTTCTATGATGATGATAATATAGTAATTGTCTATTTTTAATTAATCTGGTTACAATATTAAAGGAAGTAATGGATCAATATCCAGTACAAATGCAATTAGATTGGTTGGATGATCAAAAATAGGGAGAGACCCAATTTTTGGTAGCCAGTGTGAGTGCGTCACATTTGCTCGTGAATATGGCCTTTACGTATCAGAATAATATTTTTTATGAGCGACTTTATGGGTTTTTTAATGTAAAACAGATCATGAATTTCACAGAAATTGCCACAGGATGGCAATTTTTTGCTGACCTACATTTCTTTTCTTCAAAAACTGCTTGACAAGTCAATATTTTGACTGAAACAGGCCATCAACTGAAATCTTGGGTTCGAGTCCCACCCAAAAAAAGTTTTTTTTTAAATTGTTTTCACACATACTGAGTATTCTACATTTCCACGTCAGGTAGGACAAAATTTCTCCTATACTTGATTCTCTGACGCGAATCCAGTTATTGTCTATGCCATCATGAGAATAACAATTACTATGAAACAGATTTAGTTGTACAATATTTATTTTAAATATCAATCTCAATCAATCAACAATGATTTATATAGTGCCAATATCCACGGCAGAATGCAATGTTCAGGCGCTATGACAGCGGCATTACTCAAAGTGAACATTAACTACCAACTGATGTTAATTAACAATGCTTGATTTTTTTTAAATTTCTTTATTTATATACAGTGTGTGTATTTAGAAGGAACCAATCAATGCTAATGGCCCAAGCTCCCTATTTAGGCTATAGCTGAGTCTAACCATTCTTCACTCAGGCTAGTCTGACCATTCTTCACTAGGCCGGATAGACTGAACATGATCTGACCATTCTTCACAGGGGCGGATCTGGAAATGTCCAAAAGGGGGGGGCCCGGAAGTTGGGCCGATTGAGACAACACTGTTGTAGGGGGTCCGGGGGCATGCCCCCGCGAAATTTTTGTGTTCTAGACGCCCGAACGTAACATTTGAGACATTCTGGGCTATTATCTTTTTCTTTTTCCCTCTTTTTTTTTTTTTTTCTTATTTTACTTCCCAAAAGGGGGAATCCCCGGGGCGGGGCCGGCGCCTCCCCCCCCCCCATCTCCGCCCCTGCTTCACATCATAAGCTTTTCTAATTGTTTAGGTTTTCATCACCACAGTCTTTGGTGTAGGCTCATCTACAGTATCTGTGACATACAATGACATCGTTTCTGACAGCATTTTGCGTTTGGATTTACTGTATGTATTACTCTGACTACCAGGGGTTTGGAAAAATAGCATCAGCTACCGCCAGACCTAGAAGCTAATTTTAATTTTTCGTATGTGATCAGATTGACAAACATCTTAGCTTTACAATGGTACCACATACTTTATCTAATCACAATCTGTAACCTGTAACAGTAAAATGAAAATGACTCACTTTGGAGATTACACACTGTGGCAGTTCAATAGTACAGTCGGGGCCCTTGATGCAAATTGACTGCATGTCAACTAAAAATTTTACCACCGCTGGGTTAAAGGAGCAGTGGTCTCTCCGATTATTTTTTATACTATTTTGACATTAAATCTTTCGAATTATGTTTTTAATTTGTAATTTTTAGATGAACATAATAAGTATTTCTACTTCTTATGACCAAAAGAAAACTATGATATTTTTTGAATTGGTGTCTTTGTTTATGGGATTAACCATTGAGCATTCTTGTATAGATTTATCAGGGAACAGTGAATGTAATTCACTGTTCCTTAAATAAAATGAAATGGAAATTAACTTAAGAAATTATTAACTACAGTATAATTTGAGGAAAGAAACATTTTTAACAATATGTTGAGTTGAAGCAGACACATGGTTTGTATCTTCTTGTTTGTTTTATTTCCATTGTCGATACATATTTTAATTAGGCCTATGTTTATAAATACACAAATAATAGTTTATGGTTTCGATGTTTTTTTTCTTAATTATTTCAACTTTGTTTAAGCTTTAATATTTCATTTACGGTATATGAACAGGGCCACTGCCGGCAAGTGCGGATCCAGAGATGTCTGACAGGGGAACCGAAAATGGGGCCGATCGAAATAACACCGTTCTAGGGGAGGTCCTCGAAATATTTGTTTTCTAGGCAGGCGCCCAAACGTAACCTCGGAGGCGTTTTGGGCGATCAATCTTTCCCCTTTTTTAACTTTTTAAAAGGGTGATGGGGCTGAGGACGCCCCCAGTGTTGTGTAAGCACAATCCCATCCCCCCTTTCTTTTTTGACATCTCTGGATCCGCCCCTGATGGATCCATATTTGCGATTTGGATTAGGATGATATGTACTGTTGTCTTCGTAAATATTAAAATGATGATAACGATGAAATATTATTTGAAGGTTTGCATGTTGCATGCTGACGGTACAACGTAGATAGTTCTGAAAATTTTTTTTTTTTTTTTTTTTTGAGAACGTCTAATTTTTCTAATTTTTGTTGATAAAAGTGTGAAATTCAAACACATTTCAGTGTTCTGATCCTTGGCTCACGATGAACAATCGCCAATTCTCCAATGGCGAAAACTATATTGGATTGGCGAAAGAAAAAAAAACAACCTGCTTGGGTTTTTCCACTAAAAAACACAAGTTCTAGCTACTGCAGTGGGGGGTGATGGTGGTCGAAAGAGCATAGACCTCAACATCAGCAGAAGCGGGGAGATTGGCCCTTCAACTTTTTTTCCACTGGGGACCCTATGTGTATGTGAATGTGCCTGGAACTAAGTTTGATAGCAGGCCTAGGCCTAGACTATGTTTTGTTTTATAGATATTATGTGCATATGATTAATAAGAATAGAGATTAATTTTAAGTCAAATCGACACACAATTGATAAAAATCTAAATTAAATGTGGACACTGTTTCAAAAACACAGAATCATTGAGCAATACCTTGGCAGGTATCAAGGGGGTCTTTTAGTGGTCATGAATAATTCTATTTTGTCACGTCTAATCGGGATGATTAAAATACTAGTAAAATACACTGCTAATACCCTTGATTAAAACGACCAATCCATGTGTTAGGCCTTACCACAACAAAGGATTGATTGCAAACACCGTTTTCTTAATCCTATAATTACTCCTAATCCTATAACACCCTCATAAACAGAAATCTTGTCTCTCATGTGTGACGCTTGAATGACTCTTTATTATTGTGTAGGACTAGCGATAATAAACTATCTGTGACCAAACTAGTACAGCAGTAAGAGTGTGGCCTCGCCAGCTAGGCCCTATACGAGAAAAAAAACAAAAAAAACACAGATTCCGTGCACCACGCTTATAATATCAACGCCACGCTAAATAAATATGTAGGCCTAGATTTTATTCAAAACGTTACAATTAGATAAATACCGAAGTATCAACTGCAGGCAGTTCTACAACATTCACATGGTTCTATAATGTAATGTAGTATTAAGGTTCAATGGTATTAACTTGCATAACCATTGGAATCGATACCCTTCACCTGATAAAATGCCTTAAATTGGATTGACAGTTTTAATGGTCAACTTGAGTATACAGATAATCTAATAATATAACTGGACTTTGTATAACTTTACCCTAGTCAGTTGGACTTGGCCTTTCTCACACTATGAATCTATGATTGTCAGTTTTGAGCCAAGCTCTGAAGTTTGTGATACATCTTAATTAGTAGTTTTTTGGCAAACAAGTTATTAAATCATAGAGAAAGAATTTCTCTATGATCCAATCAGAAACTCTAAAAGTATGGGGTGACTTACTTCAAACACACCCCCATTACCTAAAGTATAATAGGCAAACACCCATATATCACTGAATCAGCAATGGTCAGTAATCAGTAGTGAGTAGTCAGTAATCAGTAGTCAGTGATCAGTAATCAGTAGTCAGTAGTTAGATTCAACACAGAAGAAAAGTACAGGTCCGAGCTGACTCCACTCTAAAAGGGTTCTCTAACATCTGAAACCTGGAGTTTAGCTGATTGTAACCAACGTACAGTTTGTGTGAATAAAAGTTTTCAGTGAACTAAAAGGAACTGTGTCATACTACGCATTAAAAAGCCATCACCAACCAACCAATATTTAACATGGAAGACGCACTAAACGATACCCGAATTGCGGTTAAGCAGATTGTTGGTCCTGTCTGGATGACTAGAATGGAACTGAATTAAAATTTTTCTTCATGTACCGCAACTAACTAACAAGAATTGAAACCCATGAGAAGTAAAACAAAACAACAGGCATCCACATTACAGAAAGTGAATTGAAACGAAAAAAAATAAATAAATAATCGGATTTGTGACAAGCTGACCAACGAACACCATGTTCGGATTCGAGACAAGCCGACAGATGACAAACTTTTTAGGATTCGAGACAAGCCGACAGATGACTGAAAGTTATTAGGATTCGAGACAAGCCGACTTCACTTAGACTTCACCCCATGACGGTGGAAAACGCTCTATACATTTGAACTTTAGGCCAACGTTAAACTTTGAACATTTAACTTTGAACATTTAAATTCTTTACTGAACTTTTGTTTGCTTGGAATTTGCATTTTGTTTATCAAGAATGAAGTAAATGGGTAAGTTGAATACATTGTTGCATTCCATCATTGTGAGAAAGAGTTTGTTTATATTTTTATCCCTCATTAAAAATTGGTTTTAATTTAATAATTAATTTTTTAATTAATTTGATTTTATTACATCAACCACGTTTTTTTGTAGTGCGCAATTTTTTTTTTCAAACAAGTAAGGTCAAAATAGCAAAATGTTGAACATTAATACAAGCACATTTTAATGGATACCTGATTGATTTAGATATCAAAACACAAGTATTAACATCAATATAGCAATTATTCAGCACAGAGGTTAACGGACTGTTGATTTTGCAGAATCACACATGTATACCAATTTGTACAACCAATTTCAATTGCTCATAGCCAGGCAATTTTTGAGGTTATTAAAGCTAAAATGATAAT